CCCCAAAACCCCAAAACCCCAAAACCCCAAAACCCCTAAAATTTTTGAGATATTGAAACTTGTAATAGCTCAGAGCTAATAAAGTGTCCTGCGCCATTTCTTATCACTCTTCTTATTGGCCATCTCTAGCTCAAGCTGCATCGCAAAGTTTTTCATGATTGTTCCATCTCTTCTCTTCAGTAGCATCATTTTATCCTTATTAAGCTGTGATTTCTCCTGAGCAAAGTAGTTTGGATTTATGGTTTTCAGAAAATTGTGATTATCTCTCCATTGTTGGCCAGAAGTCTTCACAGGAACCTTATGGAATATCATCCTTGCCTTTGAAGCTTTTGTTGATTTTGGAGCTTCAAACTCTTTTATAATATTCCCTGCTTTTTCAAATTGAGAAAGTTTATTTCTTCATAAGTCAAGAAGTTCGTTTCCTCAAATGTTCACCAAGATAATCTTCATCCCCTTTCTGTGATAAATTTATTTCAGAAACACTAGTCTCTTCTAAGACTTTTATAGTTCTATCAGAAGGCTCTTGTTGAGGGTCTTCAACCACTGCATCTTTCTTACCTTTAGAAAGCTTTGGAGGTTTCTTGACTTCGATTTGTTCATCTAGCACAGATTCGATCCGAGTTGGCCTAATGGTTCTGATGATCTTATGTAAATTAGTTGAAGGAGATATCAATAATTTATCTTGATTAGAAGCGATTCTCTTTAGTTCTAAAATTAGTATTTAAGCTTACTCTGATAATACTCAAGAGTTTTAGCCTCTTCAACATCTGGAGTCTTAGTCTCACTGCTCACTCTTTGTTGGGAACTTATTCATTTTAAGTTCCGATGGCTTTTATTATGAGTCATATACTTTTTCGAAATATTATTCCTGGTCTTGCTTGAAGCAGTACCAGTTTTGTGGAAATCAGCAACAAGATAGTTTGTGCTAAGGTATGAAGGGGCATTTTTATTAAAAAATTTAACAGATTTAACTCTTGAGTACCCTCCTGTTAGATTTCTCTTCCTTAGAGTTGTATTGCTGATTTGTTTTGTCTTAGGACGCGGGTATTGAGTATATCCTTCTAACTTAGTTAAAGAAGGAGAGCAAATATCCTTCATTTTCTTTATTGATTTTCATAAATATTTCTTGTTCTCTCTTAACTTCCTCATTTCTTTATCTCAAGTACCAGATATTTCAGAGTTAAAACGGGCTTGGAAGGTTCCATTTGGGAGGCATTGCTTCTGGCTTTGCTTATAAGCTTGATTTATGATAAATGTTTTCCCAGATTCATAATCTTGCCATAACTGGGCCATTTCACTTGTCATAAGTTTTTATTTTTATACTTTCAAAAATAGCTTTTGAAAAAGGGGTTTTGGGGTTTTGGGGTTTTGGGGTTTTGGGG